TATTAATATAGCTATGGTTTCTGAATGTTAATGTTAATATGAGCGAGTGACTGAAATCAACTGAAAGAAGACTAATTATATTATCTCTTCTGCTATCTCCTTCTAATTTCAATAGCTTTTTACCTTGAGATACGATATAGTGTTTCTATTAAAACCTTTAAATAATCTCTATTGATATTTGAATAAGCTATCGAATTACAGGCTCTTGACTTTTGGAGAATTCGTATTTTTTTAGTTTCGATTGGAAACTTTTCACATATAGAGAACTCAACTACTAGACTAGCTTTCATAAAAAAATTCACAAATTTTGAACAAAGTCTCTTCGAGATATGAGACTTTCCAAATGTAGACGCTTTTTCGTTTGATAGTGTATACAACATGCTTTTTTTGAAAGTTTGATATCTCGAAGACATTTTGTTTAAAACTTGTGAATTTTTTTAATGGAAACTAATCTGGTTGAGTTCTCTGTATGAGCAAAGTTTCAGATCGAAACTCAATAGTTTACTAAAATATCAATGGAAACCGAAATACTTTGAGGATTTCTATTAGAACACTGTAGTACCGATAGGGAGAAAAAACATTGAAATTGGAAGGGAACAACGGAAGAGATTAGAAAGTAGTAAAAAGTGAGAGTATTTCAATTCAGTCATTTCATCTAGAGAACGCCTATCAAATCTAGGCAAAATACTCGAAGTACTCATATTCGAGATACTCTGTACTTGCCGAGCTCTGACGCCTATTTTGAGAAACTCGAGAAGTGACTAGTCAATTCAGGTGCTCCAAAAAAACTTAGGTCAATTTTGATACAATTTCACTATTCTCATCTTTAATTTGTACCAATACCAAACGATATAGGCAGTGTTGCATGGCTAATCGAGATGAAGTTCTATATCAAAATACAGAAAAAAAAACAATTTACGATCTATACGAGCAGCATTTCTTCATAGTATGATCACTTATATTTTCTGATGGCTTTATCTTTTGCTCTAAAGTTGAAAGACTTAAGATTGTTATATATCATTGTTTTCAATCAAGACTATATGAGCATCTATAAAGAGCCCAGTGCATACTCTTTAATTAACATTATTTGTCTTTTACAAAAAAATGATCCTATTTTATTTTACATAGGCAACTATAACAGCAAATGGTCAATTGACACCAAAATATGCTTATATAACACAACTACGAGAACAGCGCAGGTGGATAAAATAAAAACTGAAATCTAATCTGAACATCTATATATATTCTTATTATTTCCCTTTTTTCAGATTAAAAGAAATAAAGGCATCAACTGAAAAACATATACTTATATTAGGTGCTGGTTATGTTAGTGGTCCTGTTGTTGAATATTTAACACGTAACGAGAAAGTTCACGTAACAGTTGTTAGTGCAATCCAACAAGAAGCTGATCGTCTTGCATCAATAAATTCTCGAATAACACCAATAGTACTTGATGTTACACGTCGTAAAACTGACGTTGATAAATTAATAAAAGAACATGATTGTGTTGTTTCACTTTTACCATTTACACTTCATCCTGATGTTGCTTCACTATGTATAAAACATCGTCGTCATATGGTAACAGCAAGTTATGTATCACCAAAAATGAAAGCTTTACATGATGAGTAAGAAAAAAAACTTAAATTCGATATGATTTAAGTATTATATCTTAGAGCTCTTGCAGCTGACATAACCTTAATGAATGAAGTTGGATTAGATCCGGGTATTGATCACATGCTTGCAATGGAATTATTTGAAATTATTCGTGAAAATGGTGGTCGTATAGATTCCTATGTATCATATTGTGGTGGTTTACCAGCTCCGGAACATTCTGATAATCCTTTAAGATATAAATTTAGGTTAAAAGAAATCTATATTCTGGTTTTATAAAATTGAGCTGTTTTTTTTTCTATTCTAGTTGGTCACCTCGTGGTGTTCTTACAGCTTTACTTAATCCAGCTAAATATTTAATGAATAATAAAGTAAAAACAAGGAATATGTGAGACTTTTTAGGCAAAATGAGACATACCCATGGTTCATTTAACTTTAATTCTTTACAAGGGTTATTCTTCTGAATAAGTTCTTTCAGCATAGACATATGTAAAAATGTTGACTCTTTCAGCTGACTATTAATTAAAAAGTATTTATCGAATTCAAAATTTTATCGCTAATATAGGATGATTTCGGTCACAATAACATATCATTTGAGTTGAAATTCTTGTAAAACTTGATGAAAAGTAGACAGCGAAAAAAATATCTCAGCTTAAAATCAGTCATGAAAGAATTCTTCGAACTTAGTGAATCTTATTGTGATAGATACTACTGATATTGCTCTTTCGAATGATGAAAGTCATAGGTCTCTATTCTTTTCTTTTGCTGAATTATTAAAAACAATAGTCACACGCATCGACTTTTTGGATGCACAATAATTATTTTATTTAGTAATACCCTTCAGATATCTAGAGAACTCACCTCTTCTTTGTGAAAAAGTTTAGCTTTTAGAAAAAGCCTCATCTCTCTATAGTAGACAATTCTCTACGGTAGACGCTTTTGAAAAGTTCGAAAAGTGTCCACTATAGAGAAGTTATAATGTATTTAGTTTTGCCTCAATTCAGAGTTTTTTTATCAATAAAATGCATGAAAAGAAAGCCAAACGTCGTTTTTGGTGTTGCATCGTTAACGCTGGTTTTTTTCAGAGTATCTTGAGTAACGTAAGATACATGTGATATATACAAATTAGCTCTAGAAAAGTTCATTATCTCAAGATACACATGTCTCAATTTTGCAAAATCACATTGCTAACTAACGATTTTGTTTATATTATAAAATAATTTTTTCGATTTTATTTCAATTAGATTGTTGAATATGAAGCTAATGGTGGTGTCATGGAAAATGGATGTACAACACCAAATTTTCTTCCAGGTTTTAATCTTGAATGTTATCCAAATCGAGATAGCACAAAATATATTGACGAATTACAACTTAATACAGTACATACAATACTTCGAGGAACTTTAAGATATAAAGTAAAGTACAAATAAAAAAATAACATAAAAGATAAAATTGAATATTTTATTTAAGGGTTTTTGTCAAAATGTACTTGGATTAATTCGTCTTGGTTTATGTAGTGACAAACCACATCCAAGTTTACAATCTACTGATAAACTCACATGGAAAGAATTTATGTGTGATTTATTAAATTTAAAACGTGATACACCAATAAATACACTTCGATCTACTATTCTTCAACAATTAAAAAATGAAAGTCAATTAGAAACTATTGATCAGTAAAAGAAAAATCTTTTGTGTTTTATTCTTATTAAATTCTTTTAAATATTTTTAATTAGACTTGGTCTTCTCTCAGAAGACATTCTTGTCGAAAAACATTCAAATCCACTGGATACATTAAGTGCTTGGTTAGCTAAACGTTTAGCTTTTGAACCTAATGAACGTGATATTGTTATTCTTCATCATCAAGTTGGTGTTACATGGCCATCTGCATCACGAGAAGAAAACGAATTAAAAACAATAGAAATGGTTGTTTATGGTGATCAGAAATATTCTGCTATGGCAAAAACAGTTGGGTTACCAACTGCTATCGCTACACGAATGCTCATTGACAGTATGTTGAATTTCATTTTTTTTTTGTTCGAGTAATCCTTGCAATGAAATTTTCCTTTTTAGATGAAATTTCTGATCGTGGTGTTGTTGTACCAGTTAAACGTACAATTTATCAGCCAATTTTACATGAACTTAAACGTGAAGGAATTTCATGGACTGAAAAAACAATTAAAAATAATTAATTAGTTTTTAAAATTTTTGTATTGTGATATTCATTTTAGTTTGTTTTAATATTAATTAAGATTATTATAGGGATCTGGTTACATAGAATATGCTAATAACATTTTTTTTAAATCGATTAACATAATAGACAGATGGTATAAAATATAGCATATTTCTCACACTTTGCAATCAATTATTATATAAGACATTGTCTGCAAATATCCCTGATCTATAATTATTACTGATAGTGGGAGAATTCTTGAACATTTATTGTATGCCAAACAATCCTATTGACATTGAATAGAAAATGACAGAGGAAGAAAAGATTGAGACGGCAGTTAGAGCGCAATTATATGCATGTATAAATAAAGGATGTTACTATATTCAATAGAACATCGACAAAAGAAAGAATGGGAAGTGATGATGAATTCTTGTCTTGATATGGTTTGAGTGTGCTTTTTCTCATGTCAGCAATCTATGCATATATATCGGAGAAGAAATGAATAAATTAGTAATGCCACATTCTTCTCTTTCTACGTTACAAAAAAAACAGAAACAGTGTTCATCAGTCGCCGGAAGCTTCTCTTGTGTTCAAAGATGGGTGAATGATCATTGTTGATGTTCGATGCCATCATTACAGAGAAGTTCGAATGACAGACACAAATGGTGATAATCATCCAGCTCTCTCGCTCTCTCTCTCTTTCTATCTTGTACACGTTTATCTTCTTCTTTTCTTCATCTTTATGTATGTCTTTTACTAGGGTTCGTATTCTATATATCTTGTAGAAGAAAAAAAAACGAGTTATCATCCTTGATTATTCCATCGGAAAATGCTAAGCTATATGCCCTTCTTTTTCTTCTTCGGAGTTTTTTTTCCATTGACAAAGAAGAAGAAAAAAATGCTAGCTTTTCTTCCCTTGACGATATTTATATAGTACTTTTGTTGTTGTTATTACTCTAACTTAACTATTATGAATGAATAGTACATAGTTTCGATTGGAATAAATATAATTTCATAGATATATCAAAAATTAAATTAATAATGGTGAGTACATGAGAATATTTGTACAAATTCTATTATTTTCACTTGATGACACAGCTGATAAATATAAATGAAAGATAAGTACAAGTATCGCGATAAGAGCATTTCGAACAATCTATACATTGAATAATATATATGTATATTATTCTATCATTTTTAGACTTCAGTTGTAAAAATGAATGCAATTAATCGACTTGATGTTCTTTTATCTGATATTCTTAAAAATGACCCATCAACATCTACTAATGGAATCAGTCAAGGAGCTTCAATACAACCATTACCCAAATTGACATTTCCCGAACGTAACTCGTATCCTTCACCCGTATTGCCTTCAGGCATTGTAACAACAGTACCATTACCACCTCGCCGCAGTTCTTCATCATTGAAACATCATCATCATAATCATCATCGACATCATCATATTGACCAATCTGACAAACAAAAACAATATAAGCCACTTTTAAATTCTTCAACATTAGATGATTTATTTCGTGCATTAACACTTGAATGTGAACAATATTTAGCTGCTGCATCATCTCATCAAAATAAAACATCGAATCCAAGGATTGTTCGACCTTCATCAAAAATACAAGCATCTGTTGAATCCAATGATGATGATTATGAAAATTTGCATACATCAAAAGCTTCACAACCAATAACAAAAAGTTATTCTCCTCTTAAAACAAGTATCGAAGTCATAAGTCCAATAAAACGACATGTTGTTTCAATAACGATAACATCAAAAATATCTTCACCTCAAGTAGTATCTCCTGTAAAACCTCCTTGTCATACTACAACATCAGTTATAGCACCATCAACAAATCGCCATTCAAGTGATGATGATGCTGTTGATGTATCGTCATCAAGTACAAATCGTAAACGTCGTCGCCGTGCTCGTAAACAAATTGTATCATCATCGATAACTCGATCAAGTTCATCATCAAATGAACGAAAAGAAGTAATTACGGATAAAAAACCAATAATTTCAAAACGTTCATGTAGTACAGATCCTCGTTATCAACGTAATAAAAATTCTTATGAAAATGATTTTATATCATGTTCATCACCTCAAAAACAACGTACAAAACGTCCACATCGACGTGATGTTTCATTACAACATTCATTACCAAATTCAGAACGTTATCATGAAAATCATTCATCACCATTATCTGTTTTATTAACATCAACAAAAATAACAAGCGATTTTTTTGATAATTCACATCAACGACAAGAAAGACGTTCACGTCTTGAAACAGTTAATCATAAACCATCGACATTACTCGATCGTATGCATCAACAATTATATCGACCACCAACAATACGAAACAATAATAACAACAAAAAGAACACTAACATTCCTGCACATCGAATACCATCATATCCAGTTTATTGATATGAAAAATTCTCAGAGGAAAAAATTAGTTTGTTTTTACAAATAGAAAATGATATCTATCAATGCCTTATTTCTTTTATTCCATTTGTTCATTCCATTATTTGGATGTAATCATTAGTTCAATGGTGTTAATATCATACAACTACTAATCTTCTCCTCCTTCTCCTATAATAAAAGAATGAAAAAGCACGTACTAGACACAAGTGGCATATCGTTTATTTACATTACTAAAGAAAGACAAATCAAAGTTCTTTTAATACATTTGTCGTTTGTAGAATATCTAACATATCCTACAGATTTCTATGAAATATTTTCATATTTCTTATGTTATAAATTTTGAATGAAGTGATTTCGATTGATGTATGATTAGATTAGTAAATTAACTCAATTTGACATTTTGTCAGTTTCATTTTTTGTCTTTTGTCTTCTTTTTTTCTTTGTCATTTTTTGAAGTGTAATTATTATTAATCATGTTAATATAAGTTAAGATTTACAATAAATAGATAAATGTTTGATTTAGTTGAGAAATGGCAGTTTTTGAATAATCAAAATTCCATATGCAAGTGATTCCTTATGTAACCAAAACTCAAGAACATCTATATTTTAATCAAATAACATTTTCATTTGTTTTTACTATAAATATTTTAGAGAGGATAGAATAAGAAATACATCGGTGTATTTTTAGCAATCTTCGAGTTTTATTTTTCAAAATACTATTTCATCTGAAGCATTATTTTTTCTGAGTATCTGATGGTTATTTATATGTGCAACCTGCTAGCTGAATTCTGAAAAATTACACATAAATTAATCACTGGAGAACTTTACTGACCTAGAAGTATTTAAAATAAATTTGAAAGAATGAAGATTTTGAAGTATTTTCCTTTTTTTACCATTCAATAGTGCAGCGATATTGTTGCTTTATCTATTTAGAAATGAATTGATTTGTTAGTAAATTTAATTCTATATATTTTTAAAAATTGATTTTCAAGTTTATTTTTCTTTTGTATGAAAGATAATGTATAATGAAAATTTAGTATTTTTAGATTCTATCTTTATAAATATCTAAAATGTTTCTATTGAAGTCATCAAGTGAGCCCTTTTATTTTCAAACGAGAAGTTATTCTATGTATACTTCATGTGTATCTATAAAACACAAAAACTCTGTACCATGCGAACTAGTAGCGTAGCCGAAAAAGAATTCCAGGAAAGAGCTAAATCTCTCCATTTGAAGCTGAAAAGTAGGTATCTTCTTCACCTATAATATAGGATCGTTTCATTTATAAAGGAAGCTTATAGATTTCTAGAAGGGGCCGAGATCTCTCTCAGAGACGCAACTGGTATATACTTTTTTCGAAACCATCTGTGAATAGTGACATTTGAAATAGCCAATTCTCAATAAAGTTTCATTACACATCCTCTATGAGATGAAAAGAGCAAAGCAATTAACAAGACACTGACAGATCGATACTAGTTTGCATCTCCGCTCTTTCCAATCGTCCCTTGGATCGACTACTAATGTGAACATCGTTTTCCTTTCTTTGGTCGATAAAAACTACAATTTTCAGGCTTCATCCTATAGTAGTATTATTATTAGGAATAGTTCTCACAAAGCTTAAGGAAGTTTGCTTAACCTATGGTGTTAAGTGACACCATATCATCAGTTGATGTGTGATATTACTACTATCAACTGTTGATGTACGAAATTGAATATATAAATAAACAACTTTCATTTAGTTGAATACTATCATGTCTACATGTAAGACAATAATAATTTTTGAGTCTTCTATATGAATTTGAATTTGTCAGTAGATATTTTTAAATCAGTTTTTCTTTTTATTTCAATATGAAATTTGCTTCATGAAGTTTATTTAGAAGAGAAGAAAAATGATTATTTACGTTTCTTTTTTATTTCAAAATAATGAATAATCAATGTTCTGATTAATTATTTCACATACATTGTCATCGATTAATAGAAAAGCATTTTTACCGCCAATTGTTTGACTACAATGTAATGCTGTATTTGAATGCATATCGTTGATCATTTAATAACATCTCATGTTTACTTTAAACTCAGAATCTATTATTTAATATAATGATTTACTTTCTAATATATTACTACACCTCTAAATGGATATACTATTTTGATTACATAGCATAGCTTATGTCTCGTTCACTAGTCTTCTTGCAAAATAATATTCTATGCATCGAGGAAATATCTATACTTTCCGAGGATATGTCAGTTCGTCGTTGATGACATTTGTAACAAATCATCTATACAATCGGAAGGTTTGTATATAAAACGCGGCTGCCGTTTTTCTCATCGTATTCTATGGCCTTTGACTTTACATTATGCTATGTTAGATAGAAAAACGATGCTGAGAATTATCACGCAACTGGAATAATCCAGTTTTTTCTAGGGTGTAAGAGACAAATGTATGATGAATGCTATTTTTTGCTTCTCTCTTTGCAGCATATATGTATATATACACATACAAATAACAGGAAAAACGCATATCAGTATTTTCTCATCGTCTGCACTTATTGACACATTAATCTCACGACTACGATGCATCTTTTTTTATTCTCAATCATTGCAATATGTATTGCAGGTTAGTTTTAATTTAACATTTTTCTACAAATATTTACTCGAAGAATCTAAACAGGAAGCAAAACTCAAGAAGTTGCCATTGGTACTGAATATTTACGAGCTAATGCCAATGATTCTTTTTCATCTGAATCATCAGGTTGGCCGATAAGCTCAATTAAAACACATTAAAAAAAATGTTATATGCATATCGATTATAAAACGAAGAAAGATTTATATCTTCACACATCTCTTATGTATTCTTTATATTCTAGTAATTCAAGCACAAGAATCCTTACCAAGTGAATCTGTCGTTAATGATACAACAAGTGAGATTATTAAAATAAAACTAACCAAATAATAATATCTATTTCTTGTTTCAAGCAACAACAGATACAATGAAGGACCATGATCATGATCATCACCATCATCATCATGCTCATCATGATCATAGCTCAGGTAAATAATTCAGATTTTTATGCATTTATTTGTATAAATTGTTCCTATTAAATAGAAGATCATGATGATCATCATAAAAAACATGATCATGAACATCAATCTCATCATGAACATGATGCAATAGTCACCGTTAATATGCATAATGTTCTCAGTTTATTCAAACAAAAATTACAAGAAACCGAAGAACGTATTATTGCTGCTATTCAACACGGTCAATCTTCAAGTCCAGCAACAGCCGTTAAATCTTATCGCATAGCTGATCGTTAAAATAAAGAAATAACTTTTCAATTATATATATATTGCAACAAAAAGAAAACATTTTAAACTCCTATACGATTTCTCATATGCTTTAAATTCATTTTAGCTTGAGCTAGTTCCTGTTTTAATGTTCGACATTCATTTTCTGCTTGATTGCGTAACTAAAATATAATAAATGAATAAGTAAAAAGAACAGTATGTTTTTCTTTTACAATAGTTACTTTAATATCTGTCGTTAATCGTAATTTTGCTAGATCAATTTGATGACGAATATCTAGAATCTCTTGTTGAATACGTGTGACTTGTAACATGAAATCCTTTCAAAACAAATAAAATTGTATTTTAATAAATCAAATAAGATTTGTTTGTCTTACTCCAACTTCGGCTAATTTTACATGACCCATTTGTGCTGAATGTTTAGATTCTTTGTCAATAATATCTAGTATTTTTTTATTTATTTCATCTAATTCAGTTTTTAATTGTGTTGGTTGTTCTTCTATTGATGAAGTTTTTTTCTTTTCTTGAAAATATTTTTTCTTCCACATATCACGAGCTGAAAATAAAATTAATTGATTTATTCATATAAATAGACAATCAATCGAACCGTCTCGTCGTCGTAATGTTATTCGACTATGCATATATTTTAAATTTTTGATAACTTCACCATGAGTCTTTTCAAGATCAATACGATGGATTTTTAATTCTTGAAGACGAGTACGAAGAGATTCAGCTAGAAAAAATAGAGTCTTTTTTTTTGTTTGAAATCGATTAAATCATTTTTAATTAAAAAAAAGAAACTTGACAAGCCAAGAAATATTTACTAAGCAATAAAAAGTAAAGTAAACAGCAGATGTTTTATGGTTGTATGTACCGTAGGGGGACAAAATGAGTAATATATAAAAGTTCCTATAATGAGTACGAGGTTTAAGACGACATATTCTTAACAAAATCATAAGCGATTAATTAGAATTATTTTAATTGTAAACGAAAAACCTTTGGCAATAAGTTTCCCAGTTTAATATAATTAATATTGATTCTTTTTTAAATATGTTAATGACTGAATGGTAGACTACGTTGTATTCGAAATTTTCGGATCTAAAATCAGCTTGATGGGTTCTACCTGCAGTCTTTTATCCAGTGTGAGGATCGAAGAGGCAACATCCTTTCAAAGATCGAGTTGACTCTTCTGAAATTTATCGTTACTCTACCATGTATTATGTACCTATGCTTCCAAAACTAGATGTTCGCTTTTCCGAAAGAGGAAATCTGGATGTCACACTGTCTACTAGATGAAAACATAGTGAGTTATAGACATTAAAACCTTTGTATTTTTCTCCTATGTTGATCAATCGATGCAGCACTCAATCATAATCACACTTCACAAACATTGGAAACAGCATTCAAAGTGACAAACTATCGATCAGTTTCGAATTTAAAATCAAAGAAAAGTCAATCAGCCGATTGAGTGAACATTTTCAATAGATTATTCGATGCATTATTTCCAGTTAAAATTGATATTAATGAACAACTATTCGAAAATATCAGTTGATTATAATGCAGCTTTTTCACAGATATTAAGGTGATGAATATGTTGTATTTATAGTTTTTTATTAGATAGTCACGAAAATCTTTTTTTCATTGGTATAAATAAACGCTTGATTATAATAATGATGAACATATTCTCAATTTTTATATTAAAGTTTCAAAATATTGGTTCATTGTCAAAACAAAAATATATCAAATCAGGAACTACCCATTAACCCTTTTTGCAAGGAGACGCATATATGTATATCGTGTTCCCAGAATAGTTCAGACCTATTAATGCATACTATTTATCATTGAACCAACTGGCATTACTCTATGATTTATTACGAGCGATATACAAATGCGTCGTAATAATTTTGGAAAAATCAATAATGCTAATGAAAAATGAAAATAAATTCATCGTAACTAGTTCTGTCTTAAAAGGATTAATTTACTTAGTAATTTCGAATATTGAAAAAACAAAAATAGAATAGTAATACATACGATCTTCATGTTGTTGTTGAGCTAATTTTCGTCGTCGTTGTTCTTTTAATTCTTTGGCTTTTCGTTTTTCTTCTTCTAACTGTTGACGTCGTTTAATTTCTGTTTCATGATATTCTATTTCATATCTATGAATTAGATTAAAAGAAAAGAACTTGTTTAATTTCAATTACATCAGTTATTTACATTTATAGACAAGACAAACACAAACATTTATACAAATGTATTTATTCGATACATTGATATATTCCATAACTTACGTATCATCATCACTATCTGGTGTTGCTAGTGGTAAAATCTCGTCTTCTGAACAACGTGTTTTAGTAACGGTTGCACTTCGTATATTTTCGTTATTAACGTTATTAGTTTCATCAATTTTTGAATCAGATGATATATCCGATTGAATTTTTCTTTCAGTTTTTTGTGATAATGCTGATGATGAATTTGAATGTATACTTTCTATATCTTGTTTTTTTATTGTTCTAGTTTCTGTTTCCGATGAATTTGAATCAACATCTGATGTTGATTCAATTGATGATGATAGAGATAAGATTTGACTAAGAAAAAATAAAAAGATGAGAGAAGAAAGAAAATAAATTTTTACAGACAACACAGACACATCTAAAAGAATGGCATGCACATATATTTTTTATTGCGAATTTTTCGGACAAAATATATTTTTACGGTGAGAAATATTCGACATAAGTGGGTGAAATTACAATATAAAAACAAACCCATCGGAGAATTCATCATCATTAATATCCATATTATCCTCATTTTTTATTGATTCTTTAGTGGATGTATTAGTTTTTGATGATGAAATTCGTGAATCATTTTTCATAATACTGAAGACATATCAAGGCGATTTTGAGTGAAATTTTTTCAATAAAAAATAATATTAAAACAAATATTTACTTTCGTTGAAGTTTTCGATATTCTTTACGATCTTTAAAACCACGATATGATGCTTGAATTTTTGTAGCAGCTCGTGTCTGCTGTTCTAAACGACGACGCTCAGCTTCAGCTTTTTCTTGACGACGACGACGCCGGCGTTCTTCTTCTTCACGTTCTGAGTTAAGTTTTTTTTCTTCAACAGCTCGGCGCATTTGTTGTAGTTCAACTTGACGTCGACGAAGACGTTCTTGTTCTTCTTGTAATTTGAACAATTCCCTATATAACAATCATATTTTCTTCCAATTATATTCAAAGAAAAAAAGAGATTTAAAACAAAAATATGACAATACTTTGTTATTTTAATTATTTTACAAAGAAAAACGACACATTTTTACTTTTATACCTAGCTGTAATATTAGTCGTGACGGATAGACTAGAAGATAAAGTACTTTGATTATTTTTATTTGGTTTCATTTAAAAAATTTAAATAAAATTTTTTTGACGTGTTTTTTTTCTTTACTTACTTTGGTGATGGTTCGTCTAAATCGAGAAAAAAGCAAAACAAAAGTTTAGTTCACTATAGAAGAAATTTTTAATTATAATTACCTGAATCATTTCGTGTAAACTTTGTCCAATCTTGTCTACTTGATGATGGAAGACGAAATGTTAAATCATTTGGATTTGTTTTTGATAAATTTTTTTTCTCATCATGTAGTGGTCTACGATGTTGATAATTCGAAAATCTCGATGGTGATCGACCATGATCATCAAGATTCAAACGACCTTGATGACGATTACCAAATAAATAACTAGCAGATGATACTGTTGGAGAATCAGACGGTGTATATGCATAATCTTCATGACGACCTTCGAGGAGATAAATCTAATTAAATTAATAATTTATATAATTCTTTTTATTTTGAAAAAGAAAACTTGTACCTCTGATGCATATGTCTAAAAGAAATAAATAATCTAAATCTTTTTCTGATATATAGGAAAAAAATAAATAAATATTCTAACCAGTGGTGGTCGATAATGTTTAACTTTTAATTCATCTTCTTGTGTTTGTTTAACTCTTGTTAAACATCTTCCAACAGATCGAAGAAAAATAAAATCTCGTGGAAAATCAATTACGGCTCCACATGATCGTTCAATTGATTCGCGCAAATCATGTAATTTTATCTCAGGTGGTACTCTAAATTTTGAATAAACAGAAAAAAAAGGTCGAAAACAATATTCAAATATTATTACCGAACAAAACCAACTGATATAGCATCATCCATAGCTGCATTTTGTGCTAAATTTTGAACATTTTTCCATACAGATTTTGGAATAATATATACATGTAAATCAACCAACTATTTGTATGGAAAAAGAAAATGCAATAAAAGAGAAAAAGAAGAAATGAAATTTTTTTTTAAATACTTGTGCAGAATCTGGACGATTAGTAGCAATAAAACCACTTCGTGATCGATTATTTGTTAAAGTTTTTGGTAACGAATTGAGTTGTTCGTTTTCGAAACGTGTTTGAAGCATTGTTGTTTTTTTTTTTACTACTACCCAATTGTGATCACTCAATTATAAACGAACAATGATTAATATTAGTTTGCGTGATGAGTGCCTTCAATCCTTTTCTTTTTTTGAAAGTTTTGTTGTTATTGAATTGTAAATGAATGCGATGTTTCTTTTCTTCTTGACAACTTAATGTATTGACATACACACATATAAATAAATTCCGGTTTTCTTTTCTGTTTTCTATTTAAAACGATTTGAGTACCTTCGATATGAAAGACTTTTTTTCGTTTGTATTTTTTCTTTTTCATCTATTTGTACACTTCTTTAATATTTTATTATAATTCATCGTAAAAATTGTTATTCTATTTAATCAATCGAATAAGGACTTTGCACTTAAAGTAACAAAAATTGCGTTTCAAGTGATATGTATTGATTGAAAGATGAATCAAACAAGCTGTTTTATTTGTTGATTGATATAACATATAGTAGGCGAACATATCTGTGTGATAAGAGATTCTAAGGGGATGGGAAGGGGGGGGGGGAGGGAACGAGGAAAGCGGAAAAGAAGATAATGG